TTAAAGAGTCTCTCCTAATTGTAAGTTATCCAGGACTTATTGCGTAAGTCTATGAGCAGCGCCGACTCATTACCGTCAAATGATCGATCTACTAGCCTAACCGAAAAAAATCAATAAACCTATCTAACACACATTTATAAATATAACATAACATCGCGCCTTTTATGCCCGTAGGGTGTGCCCTGAACCTCTGAGTTCACATTATGCCACTGTACGCTCACTTTTCACTATTTATGTTATGAGTCCCATGTAATAGAGGGTGAGCCTATTGCCATATACCGGTCACAATTCCAGACTCCGTGCTACTATTTAGAATTTTTAAAACCCAGTAATACTTTGCCTGACCCGAGAATTGAACCCCTTGCCCGGTAGTCGCATTTGCGACCACTCGGCCAACGAGGTAGGCATAAAATTCCAATAAAAATAGTCATAAAAAATTGTTCAGAATTTAATTTAAGCGCAGGCTCCGTTACGTACAGAAGATTAACACTGAAAGATAACATACAATCATCAAGTTAAGGTCTGCATTGTGCCGTCATAAGTAAAGGTCGTGCCAGATTAAATTTATGCCCCCTAAAATAATTAATTCCCTTTAACTTCATTAAGAAACCCGCATAGGTGTAATTACAATGAACTAAGGAATCTTAATTGTCGAATAGACAGTGCTACACAAGGTATTTAAGGATGGTGAACATTATATTCGTGTCGTGTGTAAAGAAAACTTATGTACGTGACATTCACGTTTATATCGATGTTATTAGCTCTATTTTAGTTAGGATCAAGTCATGCTGTTTGCATTGAGAACCTAGGAACTGTAATATTCGTGGCAAGACTCAATACAATTTGCCTGTTCTGGAGATGTTGAAGAAACATAAGCTATGGTCGTGGCATTTATAGCCGACAGCTTTTTACCATTACTTAGCTTTTAAACATAATGTAATATGTTAACATAACATAGCATCATGCCTTTTGTCCCCGAAGGGGTAGGCAGAGGTGTACATTATGCCACTGTGCAATGTAACACCCACTTTTCACTATTTACGTTACGAGTCCCATGTAATAGAGGGTGAGCCTATTGTCATACACCGGTCACAATTCCAGACTCTGTACTACTACTGAGAATTTATTAAAACCTAGTAATACTTTGCCCGACTCGGGAATCGAACCCGAGACCCCTTTCCCGGCAGTCGCACTTGCGACTACTAGGCTAACGAGGCAGTCAGTTAGTTAGCATTTAAAAATAAATATTAAACTGCATTATTATTATCTTCTTCAATATCGTATAACACCGTACTAGTTACAGACAACTGTTTTCACTAATTAAGAAACATTTTGTGCTACGTATCACGCGTTCGGTGCTCTGATTGGCAGTCTCCAATGAACCGACCAATCAGAGCTCTGATCGCAGTCTCGGTTTCATTATTTTAAACTGTCAAACACCGAGCGGTCACCGGTGACCGCAACTTATTGTTCTTTAGTGCATAAGGGCTATGTACGGTTTGCAACCTGATCAGTCATGCCAACCAATATTTAAGAGACTTGGTTTGTTACCATTACCGTCGCTTTACATTTATGAAGTATGTATGTTCGTTACAAAAAACAAAGATTTATTTAAAACTGCAAATGATGTCAATCCACGAAATCGTAGAGATCCATTTAGACTTGTACTAAATGACTTTCCTAGATCAGCAAAATATAATAAGAATTGCTTGGCTATGTGTATCCGTATCTATAACAATATACCGAATGATTTGAAATGTCTTAATATAAATCTATTTAAGCGTAAATTGCACAAATGGCTTAATGAACAAAACTACTATTCTATAAGTGATTTCATGCAGAGGAAATTAACCTCACGCCTAGGATGTTAATTTTAGAACTTTTCCTGATTTTGCATGCTATATAAATATTAGCAAAACATGTTGTACTTCAACCATATTTTTGTAACACCTATTTTATACCATGTTTTAAGCAAATAAATATATTATTATTATTATTATTATTATTTAATTGTGTCTATATATAATGACGGTACTCAACGAGTTAAATGTGAAACTAATTATTACTAAGGATGACTAACTGATGACTTTTATGTATTGAGAGATGACACTTGATTCTCGAAAAATACATACACACATACATAACTTCACGCATGTCTCCCATGGGGATAGGCAGAGACTATGGATCGCCAATTGCTACGATTCCTACATACCTCTTTCGCTTCATCAACAGTCATCAATCTTTTCATGCATGCTCGTCGGTTAACGGTATTTAACAATAAATAAATAATCATACAAGAAATAGTTAGCCACCCTACCCATCCGTGTACCCCAAAAACAGAAAGCGCCTTATTCAGGATCACATAATAGGATGAATATATGGGTTGCTGTCGGTCAGACCGTCATGGCACAACAATACGTAGTAATATCAGCATTATATGCCGTGATCCAAAGACAATGGACTCTGTTCGTCTTTCAATAAGACGGCTAACGTCGGTTATGAATTTAGATGTTCGCCTTAAATGTAATGCGTTAATGCTCTGTTGTGGCTAGGAAAGCCTTCTGGTATTGATGTTTAGATACATATTTATTTCTATGTCTTTATAATAACTATCGGTACAGTTGCCTGCCAACTAATAAATTTTTTTTCGAAACGTCTAAAACGATCGTTTTCTATGAATTTTGTACGACATTGTGTATTGTGATGTCACCTTTTTTAGCGTCAAACCGCGTTTTTAAGTATGTACTTATTTATTAAAAATTTCTTGAAAAAGTATAATAATGAAGTAGGTCACAAAATCAATTATTGACATTGTGATTATTTTTAATATTTTATTGTATTGAACAGTCGAAATAATTTAGTTTTGATGAAACCCAATTAAGTAGGTACAAGTAAATTAAATTTGGATTAGGCAATATTTCAATTAAAGCACTTGTCAGAATTTTTATAAATCACGATATTTATTTAAACGCAACGTCGTTATAAAACAAAGATAAGCAAAACAAAGAACAACGCCTCTATCGGCAGACAACGAAAACTTCTTCAAACAGACAATCTGACAACTTTATATAATCTTATTATTCAACAAGATACTTATTTCTATGTTTTTATTATAACATATATTTGCAGCCCGCGACTTCGTACACGTAATCCCATTTTTTCCCGTCCTCGTTCGTGATTTTCGGTAAAAAGTAAAAAAAAGTATTGGTTAAAAAGTATCCTATGTCGGTCTCCTGGCTCTAAGCTACCTCCCTACCAATTTCCAGCCAAATCTATTCTGCCATTCTTGAGTTATAAATGGTGTAACTAACACGACTTTCTTTTATATATTTAGATAGGAGCCGACCAGTAGCGGGAGCATGGTCCAAGCTACCCATGGTTAGGGCTCCAGTGACAGAAACCTCTTCACGATACGTGCCGTTCCTGGGAGAACTGCCAGATTTTGTATCAGGCCCTTGATCCATCCACCTAACGCCAGCCTCCTGAGATGGATGTCGAGGCTTTTAGGGATTAACCCATTGGCCGACACGACTATCGGCACAATGATAGCCGAATCCACACTCCACTTATTATAACTATCGTTAGACATACTAAATTTAGTAAAAGTCGCGGATTACTCACGTGATTATACTGAGAAAAGTCCTACTGCTGTGCAACATCGCCGCGACCGAGCACGCTGCTAATAAGGAAGAGCCCCTCTGTGGCTCGAAACTAGTAGAGCTTTTCCATTATATTCACGTGATAACTAGCGGTTTTTAGTTAAAATTTATTTCTTGTAAAGAACACATGTTCTATCTCAAATATGTATGTTGGAAGGATCAGGATCGGATCGGATCTTCGAAGGATCAGGCAGCAGATTGTAACACCTACTTGTGCACTTCTACAGTTTTATTATATGTATAGATTTTATTGGTTGCCTAATTCTTCTGGCTATGCAAGTCGTGGCATATCTTATAATATGGCAACATAAAAAAAACTCACAAGATCTATTCAAGTTCAATTCTGGCTTTAGATACCTACTAAAGAAATTTCTTTTTCCTATTTCTGATTCCAATAATAAATATTTTCACAGAATCACAGACTGCATAGAAATATTCTGCTGCAACACTTCTTATTAGAAAAAACTTTATCGGTAAGCTGGGAAAATACATACTTATTAAATACCTATGTTAAAGCAACCCAAATGATAATAGGACTTTATTGTCAGATACGTAAGGTCCAGAATATTGCAATGTTATTATTGCAGACTGCAAAAATAAAGTTGTAGCCTCTCTAGCTAATATTGACTCGTCAACAGTGGATTTCGTCCAAACTTTTCTCATTTGAATCCAGTCAAACCGTCATGGACTATGGACTATGGACTATTTTTAGGGTTCTGTGTTTCAAAAAGAAACGTAAAGCCTTGCAGCTTCATTTCTCTCTCAATTACTTTTTACCTGACTGTCTTACTATGTAGAGGAAAGTCGATAACGTCGATTATGAAATCTAGAATTTGCGAGCAATTATTTTGTAACGCAATTAAACAACCAGATATATCCATGCTGCATTATTTTTCTGTATATAAGCAATGCTCAGAGCAAAAATGTACAGCATTTGGTCGGGTTTTATACACATACATAACTTTTTTTTAAGGGGGGAAAAATCATCGAATGACTTCTCCCGCCTGGGTGATGCGGGAGGCAGTGTCAGACTTTTACTGACTAAAAACCACCCCGTTCCTACTCATGCACTTCGAGCCGGAGCCCTGGTAACCCGTTAGGTTCTCCGCGGCACGTCTATAACTTTACGCCTGTCTCCCATGGGGGTAGGCAGAGACTATGGAACGTCAATTTCTACGATTCTTACATACCTTTACTCACGACTAACAGTGATCAGTCTTTTTATCTTATATTATTTTAAGATACGAAGACTGATGACGATGATGGGTCATTTACATTTTGAAAGAAGTTTTATCCAATAAAACACATTGTTTAATATAATAAAAAAGTATAATGATTTAATATTGAAACGAAAATTACAATCAAATTTAACTTTTAAATCAATACCAGGTAAGTACACTATTTCAAATACATACCATTGTCCATAAGATAACAAGACCCTGTGACACTCCTAGCTTTATCACTGGCTAGATACAAAATTAAATCTGCTACCTCTTCGCATTCCGCTGCTTTCCCTAAAGCTGTACTTTTGTCTATAATGTTTTCTGCAGACTGTTCTGTAGGCATGTTCGAACTCTCCCTTATATCAGTGGGTACTGGACCAGGATTGACTGAATTCACTCTCACTCCATAAGAAGCAAGTTCAGTGGCAGTACCTCTTGTGAAATGATCCATGGCTGCTTTTGACATGCTGTAAGATATCATGCCAGGCAATTTGATCCAAGTTGACAAAACACTCGACACGTTTATTATGTTACCTTTCGAAGCTACCAGGTGCGGTATAGCTCGGCTAGTAATGAGAACCACTGGTCGCAGATTGGTCTTCATGATTTCGTCAAAGTTATCAATTAGATTCGGGTCTAGGACAGATGCGTGACGGAGAATCCCAGCGTTGTTGACGAGTATATCTAATTTACCGAACTTGTCGACAGTTTGTTGAACGATGGTGTTCGCTTCTTCGTCTTTGGAGACATCTGCTCTGATGACCAGGACGTTTGCTCCGTGCTGCTGGCAGCGGTTTGCAACTTTCTTCAGCTTAGCTTCGTTTCTTCCCACGAAGGCGACAGAAGCACCTTCCTTAGCGAATGCTTCTACAGTAGCTGCGCCGATACCGGAGCTACCACCCGTCACGAGTACTACTTTGTTAGCAAACATGTTAATAGACGCCGACGTCACAAAACGTTGTATGCCCCGACATCAACCCACAACGTTTAAATACATGGTATTATCATGGAAAATATTGGAAATCATCATCGATCGTAGATAGATGATTTGTAAATAATATGACAAAAATATGTAATATCAGTTGCGAATCATTTCATTTGGCGTTTTTGTTATCTTAGATAAGTAACTATAGGCAAAACAGACGTCATCAAAAATATCATCGTTCATTGACACGATTGATTATTATGTAACTTTTTAAATAAATAAAAAACGTTGCCCCACACTAGGATTTTCTCCTGTGTCGTGGGTGCGTTTACAAACATATAATTTCACATACATATGAAACCTAGACCCGAAACAATAATTTGTGGATCACACAAATAATTACCCCGTGCGGAATTTGAACCTGCTACATGTTGTGCAGCAGCCCGTTGCCCAGCCACCGCACCAACTGTGCAATCCCAGAGTAATCTATTTCAACAGAAATAATTGAACATAGTTACCTAGTAGTAATATAAAGTTCTTAATATGTCCCTGTTTTGGATAACAATTAGGAAATACGTATTTGATTAAGAGTTTTATAAAATTTGATAAACTTATTATTTTTCTATTGTAATTAGGTTGTTAGGTTTATTAAGGTCTACTTTCCACAGTGTCTACCAACACAAAATAATTGCAACAACAACAACAAGAGAAAAATCAGAGTTATTTTGCATATATGTGTATAAATTGCCGATTTTTCACAGGCGCTGTATATGATTCTTTTTTTTATAACATTTCATTCGAGAATTATAGTCCACAGTATGTTATAGATAAGCCTCTGACAACCAAGGACACATCTCTAGATTTCGACATTACATAGCTTCTTTTATAATTCGTATATTTTCCACCAATTTCATATAAAGTCGACTGAAATTAACAGAGAGACAACCTAATGCTAACTACAGTCGCGGAGAACCTAACGGGTTTCCGGAGCTCCGGCTTGACGTGCAGGAGAAGGAACGGGGTGGTTTTTAGTCAGTAAGAGTCTGACACTCCCTCCCGCCTCACTCAGGCGGGAGCAGTCATTCGATGATTTTCCCACCTTAAAAAAATAGCTAACTACAGTGTACAATTTCATACTTAATACATAGGTATTGTTTCTTAAACGAACACTCCCCGATCCTGTAATTGAATACAGAGGGTTCAATATGAAGTTTGTTTTACGTAGATTGGCTGGCTCCAATTAATCAACAATCAAAGCACCGAACGACGTTTCCTTTATTTTATTTTATTTTTTTTTTATTGGGGGAAAATCGTCGATTGACTGCTCCCGCCTGGGTGAGGCGGGAGGGAGTGTCAGACTCTTACTGACTAAAAGCCACCCCGTTCCTTCTCCTGCACGTCGAGCCGGAGCCCCGGTTACCCGTTAGGTTCTCCGCGACTCCGAATCGGCATCGGACCTATTGGGCCCCATCCGTGGTGGTCGGACGTACGGCGCCGAGCGATCTGTTTCTGGTCGGACGGGGAGCCACCCATGCTCGCCGTCCGCAGGCCCGTCTCAGGACCGCCTCGTCATCGCGTCGAGTCGATTATCTAGGCGTTCAATATCACATTACATAACGGAAGGTCATCTAATCGGCATCGATATAATTTATTTTTTAAATATTATGTATGACTGCCTCATTGGCCGAGTGGTGCTACTGCCGGGCAAGTGGTTCGATTCCCGGGTCGGGAAAAGTATTACCACGGAGTCCGGAATTATGCCCGGTATATGGCAATAGGCTCACCCCCTATTACATGGGACTCATAACATAAGTAGAGAAAAGTGAGTGTTATATTGTACAGTGGCATTAAAAGTCGTAGATAATGTGCACCTTAGCATACCCCTTCGGGGATAAAAGGCGTTATGTTATTTATGTATTCAGAAAATTTACACATAATGACAAAATAATGGTCGATGAGTCGTTTCTAAGCTGACTTCTTGTTGTTGTTTTGACATTCTGACACTCTGTTGTCTGACTTGTTCTGACACCTCACCGTGGTGGGAGCAGTCATTCGATGTTTTATCTCCTTAACAAAAAAAAAGCTGACTTCTTGTGTGTATAAATAATATTTTGTATTTTTCAAGGTTATTTATGCAACAACAGTTAGTTCCTACTGAGGATAAAAAAGTAATTGAATTTTCAATTTCATAACGATTTAATCCCATCAAGGGTTAGATGAAAAAGTATACAACAACGATTCAAATAGTAATTTAATAATAATAAAAATACAGTTATAACATACCTAAATGTCTGACTTCATAGATACGAATTCATGTGTCAGACAATGTAGATACATTCAATAGGTACTTAGACATGACTTCGTACAAAACTCGACATGACATCATAATTTACCTCTATATCAACATTTTTTTCTGTAGATACCAAGGTCAAATCCATTAGCTATGAAATGCCAAAGTCCATGTAACATTAACAATATTATAGTAACAACTAACCTAATTATAAACATACATAGATTAAAAAAAATGAAAATTAAAGACTCCACAATCTTTAACCAACTCAATCTATCTTTACTAATGGATAATCTACTTTATTGCTTTACTATTAACTCAAAAATCAGTTGGACATCGATGATCCGGAGTAGGTTAGTTTACTACAATAAAAAATAATAATACAATCTCTTATTTCAATAAATATCCGTTATCGATAACATAGCAGGACCCTGTGACACTCCTAGCTTTATCACTGGCTAGATACAAAATTAAATCACCAATTTCATCAGCGTCTGAAGATCTGCCTGTAACAGTCATAGCCGCCGGATTTGCGTTGCGAACTTGTTCTTCAGACAAATCAGAATTTGATATAATGTCTGTTATAACTGGTCCAGGATTAATAGCATTCACTCGTACTCCAGAAGGTGCCAGCTCCAATGCTGCAGCTCTTGTAAAATGGTCCAAACCAGCTTTGGAAACGCTGTAACACATTATTCCCGGAACTTTGATAGATGTCGACACCACGCTAGATATGTTCACAATATTGCCCTTAGTTTTCACTAGATGTGGAGCAGCCTGGTTAGTAAGATGAACGACTGAACGTAAATTCGTATTCATCACTTCATCGAATTTCTTCATCAAATTAGGTTCCAGTATACTCGCATACCGCACTATACCAGCGTTATTGACGAGAACATCAAGTTTTCCGAACTTGTCGACAGTTTGTTGTACGATCGTATTCACTTCCTCATCTTTGGAGACATCTGCTCTGATGGCCAGGACGTTGGCTCCATGCTGCTGGCAGCGGCTCTCTACTTCCTTCAGCTTTGCTTCATTTCTTCCCACGAAGGCGACAGAAGCGCCTTCCTTAGCGAATAATTTTACAGCAGCTGCACCGATACCGGAGCTACCGCCCGTCACGAGTACCACCTTGTTTGCCAACATGTTATACGACCTTTAAGCACGATATTTGGATGATCACTAAGCCGGAGCAATTGAGTTTCGAATCATATTGAACTAATTTTAGGGTTCCGTTGAAGAAGTAGGAAGTGATTCGGTCTAATCATAACACGTGGTTATTCGTGTCTAGTGTTTCACTGTTTTTATATCTGACCTTGTATTAAACATAAACTTTAGAAGCAAGCAGATAAAATGGGGTTACAGTACTATTTCTAGAGTTAAATAAAAATGGTAATAATTTTGAGTTTTCCTCGTTTTACGGAATCCAGTGGTCTAAATCACACTCAGTATTCGTGTAAATAATTGCGTTGTCATGCTTACTAAGCATGGCGACGCCGGCGTCGGTTTATCAGTTATTGCATAATGTTTATTTTTAGATACTCATAACGCGTTCTTAACAAAATCATATTTAAACTGTCAAACACCAAGCGGTCACCGGTGACCGCAACCTATTGTTCTATAATTGTGTCTACAAAACCGGTACTCGACGAGTTAAACAATGTCCTTAGATCTCTATTACTAGGATCCGGTTACGATATTAGAGCAAAGAAACTTTTCTATGGCTATTTTATCATACAACTGATCTATTGGCACCACTCGATGAATAAAAACAAATAAAGGACAACCATCATTTATAGAAACATTTAATCATACAAAGAATTGGAATCATAAAAACAAATATCAATAACGATGAATCATCAATCAGCACTATTAAACCAGTGCCATCCCATTATCTATTAAATGGCAACATCCAGTGATACTTTTAGCCTTATCACTGGCTAAATACAAAATCAGGTTAGCCACTTCCACAGGTTCACATACTTTCTTCAGAGCAGTCAAACCTGCCATCTCTTCAAAACTACCAGGAATCCCCGCGTGAACCAAAATATTGGTAGTACAAGGTCCTGGATTAACAGCATTCACTCTGACGCCTGATGATGCAAACTCCATAGCTGATACACGAGTGAAATGATTCAATGCTGCTTTAGAAACAGTGTAAGATGGATACCCGTACCCTGTTCTTGCTTCGATACCGGTTATACTTGATGTGTTGATTATACAACCTTTAGCCTCAATTAAATGTGGAGCAGCTAAACACGTTAACAGTACTGCTGCACGTAAATTCACGTTCATAATATCATCGAAGGTATCCATAAGAGTCCCATCTAATATTTTACCTTCTTTTATAGTGCCTGCATTATTCACTAGAATGTCAAGTCTTCCAAATTCTTCGATTGTATTCTTTATTATTTTCTTAAGATCTTCTTTTTTGGACACATCAGCGGTAATAATAAGGACTTTGTTACCGAAGTGTTTGCATTTCTCTGCAGTGCTATTAGCTCTCTCTTCGCTGCAGTCAACTATGACAACATGAGCACCTTCTTCAGCAAATGAAAGCGCTGTAGCTGCTCCTATTCCAGACCCAGATCCCGTAATTAAAGCTACCTTATTTGCGAATGACATTTTTTATTATATCAGTTTTATTTCACGTTGCAAAGTGCACTGTACAACACCACACAATAATGTACATTTTATCTGCCAAATGAACCTTATCTTGTTTGATTATTCTTAATTATCAGCCTCATTTTGGTGATATTGGATTCATTTTAGTCATAATTTTTATGGTTATGTAAACGTAGACTTTTATCAGAAATGTAAATGTATTATAATTTTAAGTGTAAGAAAGCCATGTTTCGGCACGAATGGGCCAGCCCGACCGGAGTGGTGCCACGGCCTCGCAGAAAACCGACGTGAAACAATGCTTGCGTTGCGTTTCGTCATGAGTGAGGTTACCGGAGGCCCCTCTCCACAATCGCCCTGATCCCTGAATCCCCAACAATCCTAAAATTCCTCATCATCCCTAAAAGGCTGGTAACGAACGTGTAACACCTCTGATGTTCCGGGTGTCCATGGGAGATGCCGATTGATTACCATCATCAGGTGATCCGCCTGCTCGCTTACCGGCTTATTCCATAAAAAAAAATATATAAATATTATTTTATTTACTTAGATTAGAAAATCCAAATCTTGTCATGCATGTGGAATGTGGCGTCCACAATTATTTGATTTAACCAAAGAGTTAAATAAATGATGATAAATGGCATTTTTGTGTATTTTGCTAAATGTAATCATAATTATTTTAAAGTTTGTAGACTGTCTAGACCGTCAGTCAGTCAGTCAGTCTATAAGTGGGAATTAATGCTTAACCATGCATCCTTTCTGTATCACCATTTGCGTAGTCATTCGTATCAATGATCACAAAAGTAGACTACACTAGCACATTAAAAAGTTTGTTTCAATCATAATAACAAACTTCTTGTACTCCGGCTCCAGATGAGTTTACGTCAAAAAATAAAAAGTTAACATTTTCAATCAGTGACAATCTTCAGAACATTGTAAACATTAATTTTATTATCATTTTGCAATTCTTTAACAATTACAGATATGTTTTGTCGACAACTTATAAGAACGTTTCCATATAGGTTAATAAGTTCAGTTACTATGCCCGTTACGCAAGGTGCCCGTAAAAAATCTGGCTTGTCCTTGAAAGACAAAGTTGTGATGATCACAGGATCTGGAACTGGTATCGGTGCTGCAACAGCAAAAGCATTTGCTGAAGAAGGTTCCAAGGTAGTCATTGCAGATGTAAACGCAGATAATGTAAAAGCAATGATAAAGGTATGTGACGAAATATGCAACGCTCAAGCTATTGGCTTCCACGTTGACGTGACAAATGAAGAACAACTTAACAAGATGGTTTCTGAAACAGTCGAAAAATTCGGTAGGCTAGATGTCCTCGTCAACAATGCTGGGATATTGACCTTCGGGTCTCTCCTCAAGGCTGACGTGATGAATGCCTTCGATAAAACACTGGCTACTAACCTCCGCTCCTGCGTATACCTGACCATGATAGCGTGTCCTCATCTCCTCCGGACCCAGGGTAACATTATTAATATATCCAGTATCCTAGGACGTTCTTATTCTGGTGACTCTAAGTACATGCCATACTGTGTTTCGAAGGCAGGTCTTGATCATTTCATGTTTGGGGCTGCTTTAGAACTAGCGCCATACGGAGTCAGAGTAAACAACGTCTGTCCAGGACCCACTAAAACCGAAATATTTGCAAAAGCTGGAGTAAATGGCACTTGGGAAGAAATTAGTGAATCTTTTAAACTTAATAATATGTCAGAACCAGAGGAGATTGCAGATTTAATTTTGTATTTATCAAGTTATAAAGCAAGGAGTATAACGGGTGGTAAATTTTACATAGATAGAGGATCACTGTTGATGGGTTAAAGTGTAAAAATATTGGCAATGAACTAATTTTTACTATTCTATGACACACTGATCGTTGCAGAGATATGAGATATGTGAACTTTCTGCCGCTTTTGTAGTTTGTATTTTAAATACCTATATTTACTTACGAAATATGCTAATTTTATAGTTTATTTACTTTTAAAATATTATATTACATGTCAATTTTACTTCTTTGTTTTGTCTTTTATTGATTTCTCCTGAGGGCTTTCTAAATTTTATATTTCAGCTTCAACACAAATACATATTTTTATAACGCGATTTTTAGTTAATTTAACATATTGTGACATGTTAAACATGTGACTAACCTCAAATTTTTCTTAAATTTTCAAAGGAGTTATACCCAAAATACAATCTGCCTTGTAACAGATAGGTAATCCTTAAAATAATTTCTTTATTAGATAGACTTCTTAGTTCTTTACTTATTACATGTCACGGAAGATACCCAATTATGATTTAAACCTTTAACGGTATACCATCGCCGACACCATAATCAGATCCTGTAACACCTCTAGCTTTTTTACTGGCCAGGAACAGGATCACATCAGCTACTTCTTCGGGTTCCGATACTCTCTGTAGAGCAGTAGTTACTGTGACATCCTCAACTATTTTATCATTCTCCAAGATATTTACCATCTTAGTGCGCACAGGACCTGGACTCACAATGTTCACTGGGACTCCAGAAGCTGCCAACTCCAGAGCTGCGCCACGGGTAAAGTGATGCCTTGGAGAGACAGTACATCATCAGCTGTAGTGTCTGCACGTACGTCTTACCGAGTACACTGCAGATGTTGATAATGTTACCCTTAGTCTTTATTACTTGTGGCGCCGCTAAGCTGCTCATATGGACATCATATGGATATCACAGCGCGCAGGTTAATGCTGGTCACTTCGTCGTAAATCTTTACGTCGGGGCTTGTGAGCGTTGTGTTCTTTAGTATGGCGGCGTTATTAACAAGGACGTCCAGTCTACCGAACGCTGCAATCCTATTCTCGACTATAGTTGGCGCCTGTGCGTCATCAGCAACATCTGCTTTGATGACAAGTGTCTTGCTGCCATATTATTCGCACCGCTGCGCCAAAGAGAAAAATAATGGATGATATATTGAAAACTTTTCCTTTACTTTAAGATTGTCTTATTCATAAAAATATGACTATAAAACCTACGTTACCGAGAATGGAAAAACGATACCTGTAGGATTACGTAGTTAGCTGTCGGTGTTGGTTGTTTAGGTAGAAAAATTAATGTTTATGTGAATCACACTGTTTATTATTATTTCCCACAAATGTTCTTAATGTTAACTAATCTAGGATGAAATGTTTAAAATGTTTGAATGCACCCGGTTGTCGCGGTAGTCGAAAGTGCACTGAATATATATTAATACATATTCACTTAGAACGGCGAGTTACGCCGATATTGCTGAATACGGTGTTCGATGAACAACTCGAACATATTCCGGGGCGCGACAACTAGGGGTAATGAAGTCATACAATAAGGTGTTAGAAGGTTGATGGATCGATTATGATGTAAAGTGGTATGTTTACAAGGTGAAGTCATTGTAACTTAAAATTAAAGTGTTAGTTTGATAACCTGAGATTTAATAATTAATCACTTATTGTTCTTAAACGGGTGATGGTGGACACTCTCTATTCACTATTGATCGCGTTACCCTAGGTTGACGTTCAACTGGGTTGTTTGCACTAACACTATTGACATTCACATGATTCACCTCACTAACACTAGTGCTGGGCTGAAGCTGCATACCGGACGTAATGTTCGCACGGCGCGCTCGGCGCCGCAGCTGCCTGTACAGCAGCGTTCCCGCCGCCAATGCCAATGCGATCACCACCAAGTAGGTTACGGCATACTGGTGTATGTCGTGAGTGGATATGGTGTCGTTCAACTCCACTCTACTGTTTTTCAGGTCGGCGATACGATTATGTAGAGTCCTTAAAGTGTTCTTAATTTCGCCTGAGTCAGTGACATCTTCGTAATATTTGAAAGGCATGGAGTTGTTGACTATGAAGTTTAACTGATCCATCGCTGGTATCAAAATGTCAGGACTCATATCGATCATGTTTTTCTTGGGTCTCTGGACGTTTAGAGTAAAATCCTGGCCTTTAAGTAGACATCCTGGTTCTAAATAAAATACCCCAGAATTAGTCAGGGTTATTTTGTTTATTTGTTCCTCGCAGATTATCTTTACGTCGTAATTGTTGCAACAATGGTACATAAAAAGTGATGGGTTTGCCAGTGGAGTCCATCTATTTTCACATGTTGATCTTCGTAACTTGCACTCCTTTGTGACACGATCGCGGTCACAAAAGTTGTTTTCGTTGCTAAGATGATAAATTGGCTTTTTCCAATTGCACAAGAACATATCATCTTGTTCTTTACATTGTGCTAACTCTGCTGACGTCATTGTTAGATATGCGTCTCCTTTCAAATCCGTAGCGATGTATTCGGAAGACGGAATGAGTTCTATCATGCTATTGTTAATTTGATGTGGTATAGATTGCACTTTGTACAATTTATAGCGGTCTCGACTGATAAGTGGGAATGTTATTTGAAAGAGGAAATATTCCTCAGTTATTCTTGCTCTTATGTGAATCAGTGCATAAAGCTTTCGAATTTCGCGCGCTTCAATAGGTAAAGTTAGGTCGTCGGATAAATGTCGCGATATTATGTTGAGTTCTCTTTGGAGCTGTTCAGGAGCCAGCAGGTGAATGTTAATCTGTCCATTATGAACATTGGTAAGCATATCAAGTAGGGTGTCTTGATTTCTTCTCAAATTATGCAATAGATTACTGGCTGTTAGGGCTGTCATGGTAAATTCCTGTAATAATGATATGTTATTTATCTCCATTTGCAGCTTGTTGGAGACGTTTTCCAGAGTAATCAGATGTTTGTTGATTATTTTATGTTGTTTAGACATAATTTCTTCGGTTCTTTTCAGTAAATTGTACTCCGATTCGACAATTGATGTCTGATTTTTCCAAAGTTCGTTTAAGTGTTTCTCATTTTGTTGTATCAAGTTGATATCTCGGGTATACTTTTCCGCGAATTGCTGGTCTAGTACGCCGAATAAGGAGTTCGCAATATTGCCGACTGCATTGATTAGTCCCCGACGCTGTCTGGAGTGTTCAGTGTCGTGTTGTGTCATCAAAAGTCCATTGTAGTGTTTTAGTTCATTACACTCATGAATCAGCTGAGGGAGTATCATGTTACACTGTTCGCTGCCTGTTGATTTGCATGTTTTTTCTAAGTATGTTGTTACTTTCTCGAACGCTTTCATACCTTCCCAATACGGAGACATGTTGTAGAATACGACTAGGGTCCAAGTATCTTTCACCAGATTTATTTTTGAAATTGGGTCGAAGTAAAAGGATTGATTGTCATTTAAAGCCGTAATGTTGTATCTGCAGTTTACAACACTGCATAGTGACATAAAATAGGTCAATGCCAAGGCGATATACGATATCGTGCCGATCGTCGCCTTTCGTTGTTTATTTTTATTCTGAGTTCCAGCTGATTTGTGTTCCGCTGACTCGTCGGTATTAGTCACTTGTTTGCCATGTGATACGCTTTCGACCGGTAGTAACGAAAGTTTAACTACAGGTCTCTTTATGATGCCATTTTTTGTTTTCAATGACACCACTCTAACATAACCGTCTTTTCCGGGGTGCACGTCTATTATCCTGCCCATAATCCACTTTCCAGCTGGAATGTTATCTTCATGCACGACCACCATGTTGCCTATATTTAAGTTTTCTTGAGGTTTAGTCCACTTCTCTCTTGCTGTCAATTGGCTAAGATACTCCAGCTTCCATTTGTGCCAGATCTGTTTAAAAATGTTATTTGTTAAATGCCATCTTGTTCTAGCATCCTCCTTCGTTTCAATAACTGTTAAATCAGCTCTTCCTGTTAAAAAATGTGATGGTGACAGGTAATCAAGGTCCTCTATGTTTTCTGTCAGTGAACACAATGGTCTCGAGTTCAGGCACGCTTCCAGCTGTGTTAGTACCGTGGTGAATTCTTCGAATGTCAATTTTTGTTCTCCGACTACTCTTTTTAAATGGAACTTTAGGCTACGGACAGCTCTTTCCCATAGTCCTCCCGCGTTTGGCCACGACGGAGCGTTGAAATGCCATTGTATATTCATTTCCGCGATTTCCACCAAGCAGTTATCATGGAAAACTTGCTGTATTTGGTTGTACTCTTCTTGCAGCAGCCTATTGGCTCCAATAAAATTGGTTCCTTGGTCACTGTACAAGTTATGCGGTGTTCCCCTTCGGGCTGCCATCCTCTTGAGAGCGGCTAAAAATGCGGAGCTGGTGAGGTCAGACACTAGTTCCAAATGAACGGCTTTCGTCACCATACATATAAATAGGGCGACGTAACCTTTCAATGTTCTGGCGCTTCTTCCCTTGTTTGCCTTTATATTTACAAATCCCGTGTAATCCACTCCTGTGTGGTAGAATGGTGGAGCGGGGTTTGTTCTAGCTGCCGGAAGGTCACCCATCAATTGATATTGCTTCCTTGCTTCATACTTTCGACACGTTACGCAATTTCTTAATTGTTTCTTGACAGTATTGTAACCACTTGTTATCCAGTATTGTTGCCGTAAAGTTGATAACGTCAGCCTCGGGCCCCCATGAAATGTCAATAGATGAGCCTCTTCAATGACTAATTCAGCCAACCGACCTTTGTTGGAGATAATCTTGGGATGTTTCATTTCCTCGCTCATAGTTGAGTTCCGTAAGCGTCCTCCTACTCGGAGAAAGCCACTGTCGTCGATAAAAGGTTTTAGCGATATGATTTTGCTGGTTGTTGCGACGTTACCATGTTTCTTTATATGTGCAATGTCTGACGTAAATTCTGTCGTTTGCACTTGTTTTACAATAGCTGATTTAGCTTGACGCAGTTCCACTAATGTTAAGTAGCTTGGTAAATGTTGACGTTGCGTTTTTGGTGTCAAAGCCCTCCGTACCCATGCCAAGACTCGTGTTATTTTTTGCAAACAGTTATGTTGCAATAATAAGTTATTAATAATGTTATT